GTGTGTGTGTGTGTGTGTCAGGCGGACATGCACGGCCTCCTGACCTTTGTGCTCATTCCCAGCACTCAGAGCAAACCTCCTCCTGTCAAAGAGAATGTGGTGAGTTCAGAGTCGGACCAAACTTTCCATCAGAGAATGGATTAAAAAGGTTGCTGACAAAAATGGGGTTTAAAAATGTCTTGATTTTTTTTTGGTCTCCTTTCTCTCCTGTAGGTCCACGTGAAGGCACATTTCGACTACGACCCGTCAGATGACCCCTACGTGCCTTGCAGAGAGCTGGGCTTGTCCTTCCAGAAAGGAGATATTCTCCACATCATCAGTCAGGCAGACCCTAACTGGTGGCAGGCCTACCGGGACGGAGATGAGGATAACCAGCCACTAGCTGGACTGGTACCAGGTACGTCTGTCTGTCTGTCTGTCTGTCTGTCTGTCTGTCTGGAGCCTGTAACACTACACTGTATAAACTAAACTTGTGTTGTGAATGCTCTTTGTTTTCTCTCATATTCTCTATTTTCTTCCACAGGGAAGAGTTTCCAGCAGCAAAGAGAAGCCATGAAACAGACCATAGAAGAAGACAAGGAGCCTGAGAAGTCTGGTCAGTTCCTCTATGACACTACAACCTGGTGACTGTGTAACTAGTAGTTTATAGTTTATGATAGCATATTTTATAGTTGTATTTATTTGATGATCGTGTGAATGTACAGAGGGACTACAGGAAATATATTAAATTGAGGGAGATTGTGAGGGGGCCATTTTTTCCCTATTAGCTAACTTAGAGCAACCCATAAGCCACCACCACACATACATATAAACATTCCAAGCACAAGATGACAAATCAAATCATTGATTGAGTAAAATGTGTGTTACTGTAGAGTAAAGGCTGTCTGATTGTTTACAGGGAAGCTGTGGTGTGCGAAGAAGAACAAGAGGAAGAGAAAGAAAGTGCTGTACAACGCTCACAGGAATGATGGTATGACCTGTTTGTCTTTCCTTAGCTGGAGCTCAACTCTGGTGTATATAGACTGCTGGTAGTGTAGTCAGGTGTCTGCGTGATCACCAACTGTAAGGAAAAAGATGGAATTAGAGATAAATGTGTATTATTTCTCCAAACCATATTATAGTTCATATTTTAGTGTCATCTTAAATTTTGGATAGTTGTTAAATGATCAAATAATGAATTTGTCATAGGTATCTCATGTTTCTGATCATTTCCTTGCTTTGTACATTCCAGCCTTCTCTCTTTCCTGTCATGTTTTGAAATCCTCTTTCTCCCTCTAACCAGTTTATCCCCATTATAACCTTGTTTCTTCCTTTCCATCGATCCAGATGTTGACAATGAGGAGATCCTCACCTACGAGGAGATGGCTTTGTACCACCAGCCGGCCAATAGGAAGCGGCCGATTGCACTGATTGGTCCAACCAGCTGCGGGCAGGTAGAGCTTAGACAGAGACTGCTCAACAACCAACCAGAGCGCTTCGCTGGAGCTGTCCCTCGTAAGATTTATACCGACACACGCACTGTACACATGCTTCTGTGTGTTTGTGTGTAGTAACCTCTGTGTGTGCGTGTTGCAGACACCACGCGGAGCCGTCGAGAAGGCGAGCTGAGTGGTCGAGATTACCACTTTGTGTCTCGTCAGACCTTTGAGGCAGAGCTGGCAGCAGGTAAGATTTTATGTCACTGAATTCCTCTCTCAGTGTCAGTTGTTTTTTTGATGAATTCCAGATCCATCAAAGGTCCACATGTAGCATTTTTCATCTGCTGGCTTAGCTCGACTCGGTTTGGCTCAGTGCACCAGCCCAGCGCGGCAGGGATTTTAATCTCCATTACAACAGGGCTACCCGCTTGAATGTGTGTCTATAAGGCAGGGAGAGCTCAAGATTGAATTAAGAGAGAGACTAAGAGAACAAAGCAGTGAATCTAATAAATAAAATGTAATTTGCTGATTGTTTCACAGCAGTTAGTTCTAAAGCACAGAGAAACACGGCCACCTTCCTCCTTGCAGCATGAAGACAAGCTGCTGACTAAGTTCTGCTCCGTTGATAAACATTTAATTTCCTACAAATTCTTCTGAACTCAGTGTAGTATATACACAACTGTGCCACTGGCCTGTGCCTTATCAACTTCCGATCATGCCTTGTATCATTAGAATACAATTTAAAGTGATTTCTCTATCAATAACAAAAACAGTAATCCAGGGATTTTTGTGTGTTACATTCATGGTTACAGTGCACACAGGAACTGCTAATGGCAAATACAGCAGAACCTTTTCCATGGTGTAGATAAAACAAATGTAAGCTGATAAAACGGGACTCAGGTGTAACCCATTATTGTAGTTGGAAGCAGACTTGAACACAAACTAACCAACCACAGGATTCTATGACAGCAGATTTTTAAAGCTAAACCACTAATAAATCATCTGCTGAACGTGAAGTCTATTCAGGAAGCAGTCTTTTTATTGACCTGCATAAGCTATACAGATATTTCTGCAAATTGTTTGGTAACACATATGTATGCAATGGGTATTTTTCCCTGATTAATAGGTCAAAGCTGCTGTGCTTGTATCCTACTCTGTGTACTCTGTCAGTTCATAAAGTCCATTAAAAAATGTGTGACAGCCATCCCACAGTATTAAACCCTGAATCACTGGTGTACAAGATGCCTCCTGTTCCTCCTCTCTCTACTTATTAGTCATTATTCATAACATGACGATTATTTGCAGTTTAATAATACTAATCATGCCTAGAATCAGTTATTTCCTCACAAAGAACATAAATATAGCCAGCAGCAGTATTAAAATGCTGCATGAACTTCAGTCAGTCACCACAGTCTGATTTCCCCGTGTGGGTTTTGGTGATGATCCAGTCAATGAGTGAGCTGTCCGTCTGTACAACTTCATGTTTACTCCTCTTGGTTTGTTTGTAACTGTCTGTGTGAACAAGGATCATACCAGAACTAAAATGCAACAATGTATCATTTTCCCCTTGGTCCTGAACAAATAAACCAAACTACATGTGTGAATTGTTTGAATACACCGTCGTACACCATCACTAACAGTGCTAGGGCTCCGAATGTTTTATCTCCTTAGCGCACTGACTGTCTCCCCTCTCCATTTATCTACACATTTAGGTTGGATACAAAGTTACAGACACTGGTTATTTGTGGAAGACTCTTAGACTTGTGGACTTTTTAGAAACTATTTCAAATGTTTATGTATGGTACCATCAAGCCTGAAACAAAGCAACAATAATGGCTTGCCTTGCTAAGACATGTAGTGACAGTATCATTAGCTTGTAACTGAAGTGAGCAGAACCAGCCCAGGCTGCAAAGGCTTAAGTATAATTTCCAGACTGGAATGAGAAAATGAAATGTTACAACATTACCAGTCATTCTTGGTCAACATCTAGTGCTATAAAAATAGCAAAACTAAGCCAAAGTAATACACAGACTTCTTGTGTGGCTTCTCCCAGTGTGAAGAAATGATATCATGTTAACACTTGAAACCAGTGTAACATCTTCCCCCCCGTGTTCTTCCTCAGGAAAGCTGATCGAGTCTGGTGACTTTGAGAAGAACCTGTACGGGACGAGTACAGACTCTGTGAGACAGGTCATCAACACTGGAAAAATCTGTGTGCTCTGTCTGCACACACAGGTTGGTACACACACACACACACACATACACAGTGAGTGGACACAGTGTCTTTCCACTACAGAACATTGGTTAAAAAGTTGAATCCTAATGTATTTGTGTGTGTGTGTGTGTGCAGGCTCTAAAGGTGCTGAGAAGTTCAGACTTGAAGCCTTACATCATCTTCATAGCTCCGCCCTCCCAGGAAAGACTCCGAGCCCTATTGGCTAAAGACAACAAAAACCCCAAGGTTCCTGTCCAACTGTCTACACTGTCTGTTTACACTCAGTCAAAGATAAATACCACTGCTGTTTGCCTCAATAATAATGTGTGTGTTTTGTGTGTGTGTGTTGTGGACAGCCGGAGGAGCTGCGCGATATCATCGAGAAAGCCCGGGAGATGGAGCAGAGCTGCGGTCACCTGTTCGACGCCGTCATTGTCAACCTGGACCAGGACAAAGCCTACAACGAGCTGCTACGACTCATCAACAAACTGGACACTGAGCCCCAGTGGGTGCCCTGCTCCTGGCTGCGCTGACAACACACACACACACACACACACCAGTCATAGAGTAGAAAATGGAGTACACATTTCTAGACATTTAACTAACTGGAACATGAAATGCTGTGTGACAATTACAGCAGAGTATTAGAGCCACTGTTAGGGGAAAACTAGTCTGAGTCACAATGTTATGAGATAAAATGGAATTTTATGAGAAAACGAAGCGAAGAAAAAATAATGCTAAAAACATAATGCTACAAGATTGTAATTTTATGAGAAAGCATCATGATATAATGAGATAAATTCCTATTTTAGTAGTACAACCATAATATTACAAAATAATTTTATGAGGAAAGGTCATACTATTGTGAAAATTAGTTAAGAATACCTTTTACAAAAAGACATGTCATAATATTACAAAATAAAGTTCTGATTAATAATAATAATAATAATATTATATAATCATTATAATATTGCAGGGAAATGTGGTTATTGTGGGAACAAAGTGCTGTGTGTTATGATAAATTGAATTGATTAGTACATCCTGACAGTCTTTCTATTGATCCTGACTCACTGAGCTTCCACGCAGAGCATAATGTCCACTCAGCGCTCTGGCTGCCTGCCATAAAGCCCACTGGACTACATTCTGATGCCATGAACATGTGTTCTGTGTGCTCTGTGGTCCAGCAGCTGCCTCTAGCACATCCAGCTGTGGGATGTATGCATCACCTAATTGGTTTCATGATTTTGGGGTATTGATGAAAGCTATAACCTCAGGTCATCAATATTCCCTCATTTGACACAGAAAAGCTAACAACTTTCCATTTTAAAACTTAATTTTTTAAATATATTTATAGTTGTGAAATGACAGTATTTTCCCGTAATATTAGGACTTTTTTTTGTAAATCTCTGATTTAATTCTGTTTGTTCTCAAAATTACCACCTTGTTATAATACTTAAATATTACACATTTTCTGATGGTAAAGTAGACTGCATTGTTTCACTATTAAAGTAGTGTAGTAAAAAATGTAGCTTTATCTTGAAGTATTTAAACTTTTAACTCGTACAACTACAACTTACAGTATTTGGACAGCTTCTACAATAACATGACATTTTCTCATGAAACTATGACTTAATTGTACGTCTGTAATCCCAACATTTATTTTATCTTCAGAATAAATTCTGGTAATACGACTTTACTCCCCACATTGTAATATTACAACTGTATCTCATTAATACACTAATTCTCTTTTTATTCATAAAACTGCAACTTTACATTAGTTCTTCTCATAAAATTCCAGCTTTATTCTTCGAGTACTGTGACATTTTGTCTGGATATCTCATCTGCCATTGACCCTGATACTCTGCTGTAGTGCGGAGGGGAGACACTGAGCACACTATAAGCATCTTCTAGAATGTATTGACCTGGTGGCACTGGTAATGATAAATACATACAATTGACAGTTTTTGTCTGTTGAGGAAACCCTCAACAAACTGATGTTGTGCCTAACTGGTCCATAATGTTTTTATTCAGCAGTGACATTTATATGACGCTGATCTCTTTCTTATCATCACAGTTCTTAGTGAGACCAAAATATGGACCTGGAAAACACTTTTTCCTTTTTTTATCTTTTACTTTAAAAGTTCCTTCTCAGAAATATGGGGCCTCATTCCTGATGACTTTATCCTGTGATCATTTCAACCATTATGATTAAATATTTAAATTAAGAAAGTCAATTATTTTATTATTATTTGAACTTTTGCTGTGCCGAGAATCAGAAAACGTGTGCACATGAGGCCCCTGGTGAGGAGTAAATGTGAAAATCACACACACACACACACATCAAGTACAAATCCACACTGAGCCACCGCTTTTATTGCTATGAAGAACACTCACTAACATGCATTGTGTACTTACTGTACACACCACAACAGTGCATTAGATACTGACTGCCTCTGTACTGGGGAGCCTTCTGAACCCTGACTGACTGACTGACTGACTGACTGACTGACGGCTGGTTTCTCACCAGCACTGTACACTATTGCAATAAACACTAAAATAAAGGACACAGCACTTCCTGGCTGACTTTGATTTTCTGACTGACGTATGACAGACTTATCTCGTCGGCCGACTCTTTCTGTCCCGTCTGATCACATTTGAGTAGAAATGAGCCTGAGGGGTGACGAAAAACCTGAAAGTTGTAGTTTTTAGCCGTGTTCCTGATCGGCACACAATGCTGTGTTTATTATTATATATTTAGTGTGCGTTTGTGTGAGTGGACGTATGCGTGCATGTGTGCGCCCGTCTTTGAAGACGGTGAAGTATTATTGTGACCCAAAGTAGACCTGACACCATATCACTGTTATCACTGGGTAGAGCATTTATATATTTGTAATAATAAAAATAGATTTATGAAGTCCAGAAAGCACCAATAGGATTGCAGGTTTTGCCTCCCTGCCATTGGTCCAGGAGGAAGAGGTGGGTGTGGCTAAGTGGAATTAATTGTATTGAATGTAAAGTTTATTGATACCACTTCTTGTTTATCAGACATCACTTCTTCCTGAGAAAATCTGCTTTTTGTATGAACATTCACAATGAATAAATAAATAGATGATTGATAGAAAATGACTGGCTGATTTCTTTGTGTAAAGGTTTCTTCAAATGCAGTTTTTCTCCAAACAAAAAACCTAAAGTAACTCAAATAACTGAAAGACTAGAAAGTTTAATGGACTCCACATATTATTTGTCAATGAAGGTCTTTGTATCAAGTATAATACACACACACACACACACACACACACACACACTAGAGGACAATTCACAACACTACAACAGCCTTGAGAATGGCATCACTTTATGTAATGTGTCTTAGTGGGAAATAAGTAAAACCTTTCAAAAACTACATTTCACAGCAGCACCATAAGGCTGATCACTCCTGTACCGTGTAATGAGGGATAGGGCGTGTAGTAACACAAAGGAGCCACAAGGTGGCACTGTTCTCTGGATTATTAATGCCATGTGTGGTCTTTGAAGTGGAACAATGTCCACTGCCATGCTGTACTCTCCCACACCCACCAGCAGCAACCAGAGCTCCGTTCCTACAAGTATCTGACTTTGCTCAGAGGAAACAGACCACCAGGTTCCGAGGTGCTGCTTTTATTTAGCAACTCTTGTGTCGGCTACATGTTAGGTCTGGTTCTGGACATGAAGGTGGTAAACCTGCCCGTTTCCTGTCTGATCATGCAAAATCTAAAGCACACACTCTGTAATCGAGCAGACTCTTCCAAGGAAATGACACATTTCTACAGGTCTGATCCACCCTCCACCCTTCACTCCCCCACACAACTGCACTGAGATCAGCATCACAACACCTCCCTCCACTTATTTCCCCATTAGATTCCTCAGTAAAGGTCAGTACACTTGGACTGGACCAGAGGAGCATGTTCACTGAATGTTTCACTTTACAAGGTGACATAAAAAGTTCAAGACTTAATAAAAAAGTTCAATCGTCACAGAACAATACCTACATTACATTACATTGTAATTACATTACAACTTTATCATCTTTACTTGCTGGGTGTTTTGGTGGAAGTTCTTCATTTATTTCATTTTATGCCATCAGTTAGTGCTACTTTGCATGTGGCCTTTGTGTCCCTTTGATCTGAGCTCATCTTTGGTTTCCTTTTCAACCTGTTTGAACAGCAGTCAGAGAGTCTCAGGCAGAGCAAGAGCTTAAACCCCAACCTATGTGTGCTTTTGCTTAAAGGGAGAATTCACTTTAAAAGAAGAAAAGAAGAAACATACAATAGTGTTGGATACAAATCTGGACAAACACTCACTTGGGTACATGTTAAAGTAGTTTTTGTTATTAGTATTATAGATCTAGTATTCATTTGCCTGGCCTTATGTGGACTATATCATCTTATGAGGGGAAATCTTGTGTATTTAGTTGTTTTATTTCCTGTCCCTATGAAAAAGTCTACTTTTTATCATATTCCTGTCTTTCCTACTCAGACCTCTGGACTGCAGTTTATTTCTTATTTTCTAAATAATATTTTAGTAAAATTTCAGGATCCAAACAAAGAGCAATCCAGCAGAGATACTGCCACATTGCAAACAAAAAATAAAATAAAATAAAACCCAAAAGATTAATTAACTGACCTGGGTTGATATGAATTACATAATGTACATTCTTGTTTATATTAGTACAATCTCAAAGGAAAGAAAGCTAAAGGACTGCAGTTTATCATCAGTATTATTGTATTATGATTATTTCCCTTTAATTCAATATGGGATAATTAAGATGAATAATATTCATAAAGGCTGATTAAACAGGCCACTCAGTTTTCATCTAAGAAGTAAATGTACTTTATAATCCAATTAAGACTAAAAAAGTCATACATGACATTAAGTCTAAGAGACATGGGATTATATTTTAGGTTATTTTAGGCTCATTTATCGTGACAGGAAGATATCTGATTGGACAGGTTTTTATACATATATGTATATATATGTTACAGGCAAATATATCTATAAGGCATCAATAAAATTTTGTTATTTGATCATTTATCTGACTGTGTATCATTTAATTTTCTTATGGTCACATATTTTCATGGCAGCTGTGGAAATGAATAAAAAATAATAAAGAATAAAATAAATCTCTTACAGCATCATAAAATCATTAGGTTGTACAGCCACGGTTAGTATAAAAAAAGCAAAAATTAGCAAGAAATGTGTAACAAATAACTTTATAACGTAGACGTGCCTGTTCCTGGGCCCTGGCGTGCACACTGTGGCTAACTGACGTCGCTTACTGGGACATTTAAATGGAACTGAGCCATAATAATGTTAATAGTTACACCGTGCTTTTACTGCTATGACCACTGTGATGGTTTATATATTAAACCTGTGCTTACTGAATGCTTAGGCGAGGTTTAGGTGATGTTAGGGAACCAACCACATATCTGGTAAGTTAACTGTAGCTGTGTATTTGTCTAGTTAAAAAAAATTAGTAACTATATATTGGCTGATAGACATATGAGGTAAAATAGTTTCTTTACAAGTATAAATTACTATTTAGCTAACTAGCTAACGTGAGAACTAGGGATGGAACATCATGATACCTTCATGGTTTGTTATGGTTATCTTTTTTAATCGGATTTCAGAAAAAAAAACCAGAAATATAATATTACATTATTCATTTAAACATTACTTAATCACTTAACACTCTCTACATTACCTAACTGACTAATTTAAAAGCACAACAATTTTTCAAGTTTGGAAACTGTTTCTTAGCATGTTAGCATCTCGTTCCGTCTGAACTCTTTGGCTGGTTGAGGTTGTCTGGCGGTGACGTCAGACACAGAGAAAACGCTTCCAAAATACTGCGCTGTAATTGGCTGATTTATCTCAGAGGGCGGAAACCGCGTTTCTTGCGGTAGCGGATTGGTCGGTAGCCCTGTCAGTCAACCCCCCGCCTTTCGTCTCACAGTCAGGTTGATGGAGAGAAGGATAGGAGAGAGGTAGACGTGGTGGAGATGTAGCAAACAACGGAAACAACAATTTTAACGCTCTCTGTTTTCTTTTATCGTGCATTTGACTTTTCTCTACCTAGTTAACTTTTCTTTTCTTATTTCACGGCGGTTTCTCCGCTTTACGGTCCGAATTGTGTATCCTTGGCAACGCGAACAACTGTCCTGCGAAGTTTGGATCAAGTGTTGGAGCTTCAGTCAGAGAAAAACAGGACATTTACCCGCTAAACTAACGGAACCGACCCCGGCGTGCATGTGAGCGCTTGTGGAACTATTCCGATACGTTTCTACCCATATTTAACCTGCTGTTTTATTTTAAACCCGGTGTTTAGGGAAACGGGACAGCGCGAGACAATAGTGGTGTAGTGAGCTCGTGCAGGGGGGGGGGGCTTTGTTCTGCCCCGTGTGGAGACCCACCGCGAGCCCGCTGCGGATATCGATTGATTGACCGGTGGATTTATGATTGCTTGCTTATTGATACGCGGACTCGGACGCCGTTGGAGCAAACATGGATGTGACTCTGTCCGAGTTGCTGGCCACTTTCATGGAGTCTCCGCTGGTGTTGTGGGTGAGTGGGAGCCGCACGCGCACACACACACACACAGTTGTGAGGATGCACGCGAGTTGATGACCTCTGCCTCTGCTTTACTTTCTCTCTCTGCTCGGGTACTTTGTCTACAACAGCTAACTATCAGAAACCAACAGCCCTGCGCTCTAATGTGCCACCCTGCAGTAGTCCGGCACTATTAACCCACTGAATGACACCTGAGACTGTTACCCTGCACTGGGAGGACGCCGGGTTTTCAGTGTAAAAGCCTCAGATTAAGTGATCCGTTGAGAGATTTGCTAGTGTGTCTGGGACTTTCCAAATGTAGGTCTCAGAGTAAGTACCAAAAAGTTCATTCTCTGTTTGTTCTGCTCCACCGGTCACAGCTGCAGTCCTTTGGTTGCTGCTGTTTCCTCACCATCATCATCTTTTGTCATTAAAATGTTGTTGAACACAAGAATTTCCTCCAGTCAGTCGACCCTAAGTGCTCATTGTTTGGGTGACTTTAGCTGTCTGGTTGATGTGGAGGGGTGGGTGTGTTAAAAGCTGTCACTTATCGTCACAGCACTGCAGCTGATTTCTCTAATCGAGTAAAGCTTTAAGTAAATAATAAACACAAATCCAGAGTAAAGCAACATCCTTTAACCCAGCGGTTCTCAACCTTTTTGCTGTCAGGGACCCCCACATTGATACTCATCAGACCACAGACTCCTGTTGGATAAGATGTCGTCTCAGGGACCCCCGTCTGAGTTATTCCATAACTGTTTGTACTGTAGATTGGCAGATTAACAGTGAAGTAACTCTTATACATTATCTCATTGGACTAACCTGCACTCAATTAAATAATAGTGAAATATAAATCATCATCATCAGATTGTGTTAGTGTACTACAAGCAGATTTATTGATAATAATGACACAGTGTTTTTTCACCACCTTGAAAGATGAGTTCCCCAGTAGACTTTGTTACAAATACCAGTGTCTTCAGAGTTGGGTTGGGTCCCAGTGTCGTCTTCTTGCTGCCCAGTATGGGCCCTCAGCCTCCACTATGACAAGCAGCAGAGCAGTCAACAGCTTATTAACTCCTTGGTACCTCCGGTGTCCCTGTGACCTCACATCCTGTTGACCTGACCGGTCAACCAGCGATTGTTCCCGTCTTTGTTGGACACACACAAACACAATTAACACAATTAACACAGCCACACAGTGGAAAGGCTCCACAGGACAACTTTCACCACACTGCTGACTTTCTGTTTGCCATTCTCCTCTTTATTCATTTGCACATCTGAAGTTGGAGAAATAGTTTTTTGGAGCAGAATGCTGCTGGTACAATCTCTGAACCCGATTTCAGGATAAGTCTGGGTGGAGAATATGAAAGCGTGGCGCTTGCCTTCAGCAAGGCCCTTAACCCCCGACTGCTCCAGTGGAGCTGCTCTGTGGCCAGCAGATCAGACTGTGGTTGTTATTGGGCAGCTTCCAGCTGTGTCACTGTGTGAGTGTGAGCAGGGCGTTCCCAAAAAAGAGAGCACTACTCTCAGCAAAACCCCCAAAGATACGCTTTTTGAAAACTATTAATTGTGCTGTATAAGTCTCTTCCAAGTCTTTTTAGTACCCAGTGTCCTCTTTGTACTGTCCCTCTGCAGCGGCTCAGCACGGGGAAGGACTTTCATTCTAGAAAGACTAGCTTTGGAAGATACCCAGTTGCCTTAAGATGATTTAGAAATGTTGATTGAACACTCAGCAGAAAGCCAACCAGCATTAACTTGAAAGGGAAACTGAAGCGTGTGTATCTTTCTACTTGCAATGTAGCTGACCTCTCTTTCTGCCTCTAGGTGCGGACGCTGGGTCCACTGGGTTCAAGCGATGATGTGGGCTCCGAGGAGCGGGTCAACATGTTCATGGAGCTGGTGGACGGCGTTTTCCTGCACAAGATCATGACACACATGTAGGTAGCACCCTGCAGACTGAGAGCTTCAGGTTCTATTTGCATGAGTCAGTGAAAAAAGTTCTTTTGGTGTGTGTTTCTGTGTGCCTGGACTGGTATATGAGCGCTATGTGAGTTAATCCAGTGTTTCCGGTGTGTGTCAGTGTAAGTGTGTTTGTGGCGACCACATCCTGACTCGCTGGTTTCAGGTTGTAAACGTCGCAGCCAGATGTGCTGTCGGAGTCTGCATCAAGAAATGCAGCAGAGT